GGTTGTGACAACATTTCTCGAAACATGATTGTGACTATTCTTGATCACCTCCTACCAGCTATAACCCACATCATTAATTTTTCCCTTTTTTCCGGCTCCTTCCCCTCCCTTTGGCGAAGAGCTTTTGTTCGCCCGCTCCCAAAGGTCTCCAGTCCGACTCTTCCTGACAAAAACCTGCTCCCGTCCATCGCCAAGTCAATGCTGGTGCAGGCCTTGTTGTTTCCCAAAATTGATTATGCTGATGTGTGTTATTATGACCTGAATTCAGATCTCCTCAATAAACTTGACCGACTTCTGAATAACTGCATTCGTTTCGTCTTCAACCTGCGTAAATATGATCATGTTTCTGCACATCGGCTGCAATTAAAGTGGTTGCCCATACGCCAGCGCAGGGAGCAAAGGGCGCTAACCACTCTGTTCTCTTTCCTTGATTCTCTCTCTTCGCCATCTTCTCTACCCCCTTACTTCCAGTACACATGCGCAAACCACAACAAGTATCTCCGTTCTTCTATTAACCGCCTTCTTCAATGTCCAACTCATCACACAAAATTTCTTCATTCTTCTTTTTTTATTCAATCTATTATTCTGTAGAATGCGCTCCCCCTCGATGTCAGGATGGTGTCGAATCGTTGGGCGTTCAAGCAAAAGATTCGGGAGTTGCTATTGAAGAGGTTGGCAGAGGTATCGTGATCATGACATCAAATAGCAAAATATGTATAATTTTAAGTAGTATATGTAATTATATTATTGCTGTATATATAATATATATTATGTATATATATATAAGTATATGTATGTATATTTACAGTATAATATGTATTTATAACGTCTCCGATGATGCTTGTTTTGTGCACCTTTATATTTATCTCTGCATCATCCAAAGGTTTGGCTGTCAGAGAATGCCCATGGCATTAAGCCCACCTTTGTACATTTGTTAAATTAAATAAATAAATAAATATTTTTTTTTTGCAAAAACATCAAACTGGAAGAATTTATTTACAATCTAAAAATTACAAAATATCTCAAAAAATTAACTCTTAATTTATATTGAAATGTATCTGACATATTTATTATTAGATAGGTACGTAATTATTCACGTCTACCTATCTCATAACAACTATGTCAGGTAAATTTTTAACAAAAATAAATCACTTTTTATCTAACAATTGTAAAATATCACAGAAAATCAACTTTTTGTATAATCTAATCAGTCATTCATCACCTTCATACGAATTTTGGAACAATAGAGCAAACTCACCCTTTCTCGCAGGTAAAAAAATAGCAAGATGATTCACTAAAACTACTCTTACCTATGCTTACCTTTGTAAAAATATTGGAGTGAAGTGAATTTGGAGAATTTTAAGCATTATATTACGATTACATAAAAATATCGAAAAACAAATTTACTTTGATTAGGTTTGACTGCGCTGACTGTACCAAATTCAAGTTGTTGGTATTCGTTTGTACATTAAATTAAATTATTTAAAAAGTGGTATCCGTTCGGAATAAAAAAAAAATAAAAGTTGAATCAAATACCAGTGGTATTAGTTTTTGGTATTAGAATGGAATAAATCGTTTTTAAAAGCAAAATCTTATTTCGTGCACTTATGGCCAGTAATCTGACTAAAGGTTTAGTGAAACTATTTTCGTCTTGTTTGTTATAATTACGAGTTCTTTATGTGTTTTATTTTTTGCAATTTAATTTAATAATATTCCCAAATGTAAACATCAAAAATCATTGATGTACATTGAATTCAATAACTATGCAAACAAAAGTTGGCCATGTCCTTTCACAGAAATCGGTTCAGTAGTTTAGGCGTGAAGAAAAGACAGACAGGCAGCCAGACAGCGTAACTTTCGCATTAATAATATTAGTTTCGATTATTATCGGATACGAAAACAAATACGGATATGAAATTATTTCGAATTATCCGTTAGTGTCGGTTAATTTCCGCCTTGAGCAAGCGTGGTGATTAATGCTTATACCTTCTCCGTGTGAAAAGGGGCCTATGCTCAGCAGTGGGCACTTATAGGTTTATGATGAACCAAGATCCAAGTGTTTTATTCATATTACAACATTTTCCAATAAACAAAATAAATCTTAAAAAAATTCAAGCAATAATTTAAGCAGTGAGACAGTCGCCTTGTTGTTTCGTTTGTGAAAATTATGAATTTGATTGACATATTCATGATTTTTGATGACATGATTGCATGGCTTAAAACTAGTCGAGTTCCCCGTTAAATAATTACGTGTGTAAGCCGAAAACATAATAATTTATTTAGTATGTCTCACGAAAGTTATAGTTAAAAATAAATCATGTTCGCAATTGAAAAACAAGTTTCTACATACGCAACCACATTTTCGCTAGCTTCCCTAACTTCCTAAACATATTCAGGTCGATACTAACTTGTACCAGTAAAGTTAGCCCGCATGAAACTTGCATTTCTAACTCGGCTGATAGAATTATCACTGCGTTGATAACTTGGTTACTATTGTTCGTTCAAACTTAGTCTTAAGTGCTCGTGTCACCTGCGATAGTAGTTAGGTAAGATTTTGAAATAAATTATTATCTTTTAATAAATATTTTTTCTAGAAATGGCGCGCCGATTAACGTACAATACTACTGATACTTAATTGTTTTACTTTTTCACGTGTTTTTTCGTATTTAAGATAGACTGTTTAAGTTTTGACTATTGTTTTTTAACTTACCATTACAGACACTTTTAAACGTCAAATTAAAATTTTATCACGATAAAAAAACCAACATATTTGCTCGTTCCAAAGTGTAGATTCTGATGGAGAAGATTGAGAAATTAATTTAAAAATAGTAGGAATACAAATTTTTTTTTGTCTTTTTTATAAATTTACATTTTAGTAATGATTGACACAAAATTATAATTCACTTAAATAATATAATGTTAACTTAACAAAAAAAGAAAATAAAAATTCTACAAACACATTCGTGACCCATTTAAAACAGACAGAACAGATTTAAAACGATTACTGGCATTTATTTTTTCAAGCTTAGAAAAACATTAAAAGAAAAACAGACGAATAAAAATTTGAATTTTTGTAAAAAGAACACTACTCGTATTGAATGTATTTTCTAGATTGTATCTCCCGATATTGATATTCCCGATTTGCATATTATTTCTATTGTAATGTGGAACATTCTAGAAGCGTAGGACCACATTTTTATACTTTTTATTGCACAAAAGTAATTGCAATATATAAAAATACTAACGACCTACGCCGGCTTCGCACGGGTGCAATTCTGATACTAAATTTCTCCACTATTTAATGGACTTTATTATACACAAAAACCTACCTTTTCAATCACTCTTTCTATAAAAAATCACATCAAAATCCGTTGCGTAGTTTTAAAGATTAAAGCATACTTAAGGATATAGGGAAAAAGCGACTTTCTATTATACTATGTATGTGGATTTTTTTTGTCAAGGGAAAATCATCAAATGACTTCTCCCGCCCAGGGTTACGCGTTAGAGAGTGTCAGACTCTTGCTGACTAAAAACCCCCCTGTTCCTACTCCTGCTCTAGGCCGAGGTCGCGGTGCCTCATTGCGCTTAACCCGCAATTCCGGCTGAACATCAGCCCTATTAGGGCCCCGTCTGTGGTGGTCCATTGGCCCTTTGAGGCGCGCGCGGAACGCTACGCGCCGTGCGCTCGGGTCTGTTTCTGGTCGGGCGGCGAGCTACCCTTACTCGCCGTTCGCAGACCCGCGCTTACGGGCACGCTTATGATCATCTCTCGATGTATGTAGGGATAAATATTTTCGTTCTTGACTTTGTCCGTGGTGTAAAATTTCTTTTAAGAATGACAATTTTATCCACTTAAACATCAACATTTTTTTTTTGTTTTTCTATGGAGCTATAGTGCCTAGCACATCTCCGGGAAAGGATGGGGCGAGAGCGAGTGTTAGACTTTTACTGACTAAACCCTCGGCCTAAAGCAGGCGGTAGGTTATTGCGCCCCGCAACACCGGCTGAACTAAAGTAAATTTTCAAAATATAAAAAAAAACAGACGTGATCTTAAGTTTCTTTAATAACCTAAAGATAGAATAATAGAAGAATGTTTATAAAAGTTGCTTACAGATGAGGAACTTTTATTCGTTCTTTCATTGAGTCCGGGATTGATGATTGAGGTTGCTGGTTGCAGAAATTAGAAACACAAACTTGGTTACTGTAACTGGGGTGTGATTCTGTAAGACTTCATTCTAAACTTCGAATCTGAATCCGCTGTGAGTAGTAGTACACTAGCGCTACACTTGCGAGATGAACTAAATTGACAGCAACATTTTGATAGATAAAGTATGAGATGACGTTAAAAGTGGCATTCTAAAATTTAATTACCTCGTTACTTCGAGGCTCACTTCGCACTCGAACAAGATTCAAAATCAAACAAATTTTATAGAATCAACGTGCTGGTGTCAATTAGAGACAGAACATTTCTTTTAAATTTTCTGCCAAAAATTACAATAATTTTAAAATAAATATATATAAAGTATTTAGCTTAGTTTAACTATACTAAAATAGTTATAAACATTTTTTTATGTTAGATGTCGGCTAATGAGCAGACGGATTACCTGGTGGTAAGCAATCAGCGCCGCCCATGAACACTTGTAAGACCAAAGGAGTTACTACAAGTGCGTTGCCGACCTTTTATAGGTTATAAGGGATTTAAGGATAGGAGATTTGAGGACTGAGGATAGATTGATTTGGGATTCGGTAACCTTACTCACACGGTGTTTTGTGTAAGGCGGTGGTATCACTCCGGTCGAGCTTACCCATTTGTGCCGAAGCATGGCTCTCCCACACTTTATTGGCTTCATTTGTGTAAGTAAAGAGTGGGAGAGACATGCATGCTTCGAAAACCGGCGAGAAACAATCACAGTTTTGTGTTTCGCCGTGTGAGTGAGGTTACCGGAGGTCCAATCCTTCCCCTTCCCAATCCCTCCCCAGTTCCTAAATCTCCAAATCCCTAATCCCGAAAAGGTCGGCAACGCAATCGTAACTCGTCCGTTACGGGTGTCCATGGACGGCGCTGATTGCTTACCACCAGGTAATCCGCCTGCTCGTTTGCCGAACTATGACATAAAAAAAAATAGTTATTTTTTAAATGAGTAATAATCATTATCGTAGTTTAGTTTGTGATATTACACAAATTAAATCAATTTGTTGTAAACCTACGTATTAATATTTATTATAAATTTAATGTTCACTAATGAACACGATCTGAAATAAATTGTGTTTAAAATTTCGTAACTCAATGAGCGATCGCGCGCGCGAAAACGCGGTCACGTGGGATAAGGGTCGTGTCATTTTGTGGGGAGCGGAGCGGCCTGGAATGTTTTCCATTTTCAAATAAAAAAGGAATTGTTACCTGAAGCAAAAATAAACGGTGTTACGTCATGAATTTATTTTTAGATGTTAAAGTTTTGGAAATTGGTAGCTTTGACAAAGCTATTACAAATCCGCAGCAACCGATCCCTGATTTTTTTAAATTTTAAGTGTTAATTGTTGTGGTTCTGGACTCATACACTGATATCATTTTTTCTTAAAAAAAAAACATTGGCAACTCTGAATATTTGACGATATTTATAAAAAAAAACCTCAATTCCACCAGACTGACGGCTTAATACTTGATATTGAAGAATGAGCAGTGAACATTTCGTTCGCTTATTATATAAACTTATACAGACTTATGCTTAAACCTTGCCTTGAGTACCAAAGTGTATTTTGGATGCTGTATGAGTATACGTGGATTTTGGAGAAACGTTGCTAGTCAAGTTATAATTTTTTTTATCTCTATAATCTTTTTCACATTTTAAAATTTAAATTAAATAAATTTATCATTCTGTAGTTCTTAAAACAAATGACAGTATTTTAAATCCATTCTTTATTTTTCTTTTGAGATTGACAGTACAAGCTGCTTTCTGTAATCAATTTCGCATAAATATTCAACAAAACATTAACCCCAATATTGTTGACACACCCTTCGCTTGACACAGAGAACCTACCCTAACTTTTCAAACAGCGAACATCATTTGCAGCGCCCAACCACACAGCCAGTAGCGCTCAAACGACGGAAGGGGGAGGTCGCGTCCATCCCTTATCTTGGCGGGAAAATTGTGACAATTCTTTTTTCGAACGTTCGAAAAAAGTATCTTTATTTCCGTTTGTGTTTTTTTTCTTTATATCGGACATTTGACATTTTGTGATTCGATTTCCTTTGTTCGATGACAGCTGAAGTGTAAAACCTTTTTGGTAAGTATTTATTGTATGGAGGTTTAATTTAAGTTTCTTGAACAGCAATTTAAGTTTCTTGACGGCTTCCTGAGTCGTTTAGTGTTTGCTGTCAACTTTTGTTTGTACAGTATTAATTACTTGATAACAATCTATATTGAATTTAAAAGGGCTGCTTCTTGACGAGCCTCTGGCTTAAAACAATCAAACTTAAAAAGGTTTTCAAGTCAAAGAGTTTATTTTATGTGATGTATATTGAATTAACTTTAGATCTATGTCTTTTAAACAAGTTTTGAGACTAAAGAGGCACTCAAGTAAATACAATAACAAAATTAGTGGATGAAAAGAAAAACTTTTGTACATGATATTTTTATGTAACTCAATCAACTTGAATAGAATAAATAGATTTTGAGTGTAATTGAATTATTTTTTTTATTAATAATTAAATTCAATAGCAATGGTAAAGGTTGTCTATGTAATGTTTATTTTTTTAGATAGGTAACAAACAGTTCTATTTTCTTTTTTAAGATAGTTTCTGGCAAAATTAAGTTGAAAATTGTAAGATATAAATACTTACGGAAATAAAATTAAAGCATTCAAATAATGTCTTCTATTTACGTAACTGGATTGATAATGACAAAATAAATTTATAGTGAAAATAATAAAAATACGCGTTTAACTGTGCCGTACTCATAACAAATACATATACGATATAATACATAATAATATCTAATGCACCCAAACTCGATGTGTTTATTGTCCTTCATTAGATCTACGTAATAATCATTCCAAAATTTAATAATTTTACAACGACGCACGTACGTTTACTTCAGATTCTTTGATTACCTATATTAAAGGACAGAAGCGTGTTAAAAACCAAACGGTCGGTAAATATTCAAAGGCAATTCAACAAGTCATACATAGCTTACTGATTACCTGCTGGTATGCAATCGGTGCCAATGATGGACAGCCGAAGGAGTTGCAAGTGCGTTGTCTTATAAACTTGTTTGGGATAAGGGGTTTTAGGGATTTGGAGATAAGGGGATAGGAAAGCAGTGAGCCTCTGGTAATCTCACGCACACGGTAAAACACGACGCTGAGGTTTGTTTCACGCCGGTTTTCTGTGAAGCCTATCACCCCGGTCGAGCCAAACGAAGCCTGGCTCTTTCACACATTATATTTTGGTTGGATGGAAAACAATATCTATTGTAAAGATTTAATATTGTTAGCTTTTAATGAAATCACGAGTAAGTAAATTAATTTGATTAGTCGTTTATGTAGATCAGAGATTATTCAAGAGATTTGTTTTGAAAACAAAATAATTAAATTTGGTTTTTACGTTTCGTTGTCTTCAGTTGGATAACCTGTTAGAGCATTTTTCAGTTAAGTAGGTAATTCACGTAAGTCGTTTTTCAAACTATCCAAACTAATATTATAAATGTGAAAGTAACTCTGTCCGTATGTCTGTCTGGTCTGTCTTTTCTTCACGCCTTTTTTTTGTGAGGGGAAAATCATCAAATGACTGCCCAGGGCTGGGCGTGAGGGAGTGTCAGAACTCTTACTGACTAAAAACCCCCCTGATCCTTCTCCTGCTCTGGGCCGAGGTCGCGGTGCCTCATTGCGCTTACCCCGCAACCCCGGCTGATTTCTTCACGCCTAAGCTACTGAAACTATTTGTGTGAAATTTGCCGCGAAAGGACAGGATAGTTTTAAAATCAAAATTCTGCAGGAAGTCACTATTCCATGCGAACAAAGTCGCGACCAAAAGCTTGTTTTCAATAAACTTAGTTCGAGTTAAAAGAGTTTAGAATTATTTGTCACTGGTTGATTTTCACGCATTTTTCCCGCGCTAGGATTTTCTCCTGTGTCGAAGGTGCGTAACAAATGGGTAGGTTCAGTCAGTCAGTAAGAGTATGACACTCCCTCTTTTAGGGTGAGAGAAGTAATGCAATAATATCCCGATTTAATGCATCAAACCCCAAGCGAACGCTGGCGTTCGAGCATATTATCTTAATATTGTCTCATATATCCACGATTGAAAGGTTTACAAAAAAATGTGTTATGGTTGTCCATAGATGGCGCAAATTGCGAACAATCAGATTCTGTTTATTTTCCGACCAACGCTATAAAAAGCCACTATAAAGTGTAAAAATAATATAGCAGTCAATATCCAATATATGTGGAAACGGTAACAGAACAAAACGAGAATTGCATACTGCGGAATGTATTGTAATTGCATATGAATAGAACTGTAACATTTATGAAATTGAATTTATTATTTATCCGTTTAATTTTTATTTTTTTGTTTCGAACTAGGTTCTTTGTTAAGAATAAGGACTAAAATTTGATTTCTTGGTCAGATAGATGAGGTATGCTTAGGAATGCACGGCTGCCGCGCAACGTATCGCGAGTTCGATTCTCGCACGGAACAACTATGTATTTGCGTGATCCGCAAATTGTTGTTCCGGGTCTGGGTGTGATGTTTACGCAAAATTGTATGTTTGTAACAGCATCCACGACACAGGAGAGAATCCCATTGTGAGGTAACGTTTTTAAATAAAAAATAAATAGAGAAGAAACGTGGCATACGTGTTTATTTTTGACCGCCGAAAGCTTAAAGATCGGATATTATTTTGAACTGTATGTATGTATTGACGTGTCCATATAAATTAGTTTCCTTATAACTTATAAAATAGTTATCATAAATGTACGAAATTTTCATAATAAAAGCAGCAAAGAGTTTTTATATAGATAAGTAGAAAAACAGTAGAATAGTTCACACATCATCAGTATATAAGTGTCTTCTGCAAGACCAAGACCTCATGTGGACAACAAATCATTATAAGTCCAGGTTTTTCCACAATGTTTTTCTTCATAGTATGTCAGTGGTGATAAGTTACATAAACTTAAACTACACATAAGTCGTAAAAAATCACAGTGGCACGAAAAGCGTGCGCTTTACCCTACAGACCACTACGACTAGTAATATAGGTCACAATTTCCAATAAAACGAAACTTCTATCCTAGTAAGTAAATAAGAGACTTAACATTTTATTTGTAAGTACTTACCTATTTATTAAAGTGTCAATTCTTTATCATATAAAATCAAGCTATTTACAATCATAAATCCTTAAATATAAAAACTATAATTGCATGCCTCTCGTCCCTAATTATCTTCACATTCAATCATAGCCTTACTAACAGTTTCATCATCATCATCACGATCCTTAAAACAACCAAACGCGTAATAATCTTCAATTTCTTTCAAAGTCCTATGCGTGGTATCGGGAACATATTTCCATATAAAAACAATTGAAAACGTCCCATAAATCGCGTATATAAGAAAGACACCCCATATATTAAGGAACAAACATAAATAAGGATAAGCCTTTAGGCAAGAAGAATGGAATATACAAATTAAAACCACGTACAGACTTCCCCCTAATCCTCTATATTTTACCGGCATTATCTCACTTGATAAAGAGAAACCGATACAACTGGAACCCAAACACAGAAACGATTGAAAAGCCATCAAACAGTACAAAGCAAAATCCGCATTTAAATGAACGCTGAGGTAAGAAAAAATGGCAGCTCCCATCATACAAGTAGTAGTCCCAATCAAGCTAAATAACATAACCTTCTTACTGCTAAAGTAACGGACTAAAACCGTGGCAATAATATAGCCAACAAAGAAAACAATGTCCATATAAAGTTTTACTTCCACGTTCATCTTTCCAGATATCTTAATTATCATGTCACTTGAGTATATGATCACCGGCATACCTCCACACCAGTATAAAACATTCAATAGAACACAAGTATGAAGAGCTGGTACGTAAAAATCTCTACTAACGATTGTCTTTCTCAAATCTTGGAATCCAGAAGTCTTCTTAACATCTTCTCTTTGAGTGTTAAGCAAAGCCTTTAATTCTTTTTTAGAATCTGCATCAGTACCCCTTAATTTTACAAAGCACTTTTCGCATTCACTAAATCTTCTTTTATAAGCTAACCAAGAAGGTGATTCTGGCCAAGCAAAACCGATTAGAAGTGCTACAAGAACTGGAGAGCCCATTATGATTCCTATAGTCTTCCAATGAAGATATCTGCCCAGAATACCTGCTGAAGATATTCCAAAAGCTTGAACAGCGCCGTAGAGTAAGAGACAGGAGTTTCTGTACACAGGAGAAACCATCTCGGTGATACTTAAAAAAGTTGTTGTAATAAGACAATTGGTGCCTAAGCCATGGAAGCATTCACCAATGATTAAAGTCGCGATGTTTTGTGCTAGATTAGTTATGATCCAGCCAGACATGATGAAGATGCAGCTTAAAATGAAGGCAAATCTTCTTCCCTGATTTTGCATGATGAAAGGGAGGAAGACGCTTGGTAATCCTGCGATGCCGTGGACGGATCCTGGAAAAAATAATTAATTGTGTTTCAATTGTTGTTATTTTGTCTGATAAATGGATAGAAAGTGGATTCTAACATGATAGTTGGACTCATAATTCGAATTGTTGACCGTTTTATTAAATAAATATGTTCAATCTTTCTTGCCTCGCCTTAAAATTATATAGTTCATTTCATATGTGTATCTAAAGTTTTATTTCTTGAGTTTAAATTACATTTTTGTTAAAGGGTTTTGATGGTGTGTTAAGCACTCCAGAATAAAAACAAATAAAAGAGGAATGTTTTCTTTCTTGCATTTTACCCATTGTCTTATCCATCTGTAAGTTGATTGCCTTTATTTTTATCTAACCTTACTACGCTTACTTTATTTATAATGATATTAATTGTTAATAAGTTATTAGGAGTATAGGAGTTAAGTTATGTACGTCTACGTGAGTGAATTATATTAGAATCTAGCCTCACTGCTAGTATATTAAATTACGAAGGAGACGCGAACATTGTGAGTACACTAACTTTAATTATGTTTTAATACTACAATTATGAACAAAGTTACTGTAAATTTAGCTTTTTCTGGAGATGTTTCTTGAAGGTATATTTGCAATAGTAGTTCGATATTTTTGTCGGTTTTTAATAATTTTGAAAAGTGTTTTACTGGAGTTCTCTTTCCAATCAACCTGTATACATATATAATAATGTTTAAATATTATCAGATACTAACAGCGACTAGTTTCGGCTGAACTATATTATCTTTTTCTTATTGTGTTTGAAAATAATTTATCCTATTTTAATAGACCTTTGTATTTTTTTTATTTCACTGGGCCACATGATCCCATGCTATTGGAAGGCGTACGAGGGGCTGAAACCAACTAACAAGAATACGTTGAACGGTTTTAATCTAAATATCATTGCAAATCACCCGGTAAAATATAAAATACTATGAAAATGCTCTCAAGGACAACTACTAGTTGATGTAGAACTATTTTGAAATGTGGTTAACATTGATAATGTTATGAACTATGAAATACTATGGCTCATGGCCCTGACCAATATTTATATAAAATGTATTGTTAGTATCTTTTCACGGGATCACAGGATCCCGGACCTTTGGAAGGCGTACGGGGGGCCAACTCGCAGAGGCCCGTTGACAACTTTAATATAGGTGAAATGGGACATCATATTCATTGTTATTATTAAAAATGTACCCTCGTACAGAGTTGCCGAAGCCAACATAATTATCTCTGTTAAACTGAACCCATGATTGTTTTTGTATGGATCTGTTAAACTAACAGTGATGTGTAAAATACCAAAAAAAAAACTAAACGTTAATCAATTGAACTCTATCGACACTGATAATATTAATGTTTTCATAAGACCAAACACTTTTTCTTTTGTCAGGGGAAAATCATCAAATGACTTCTCCCACCCAGGGTTAGGCGAGAGAGAGCGTCAGACTCTTACTGACTAAAAACGCCCCCATTCCTTCTCCTGCTCTGAGCCGAGGCCGCGTTGACTCATTGCGTTTTAACCCGCAACCCCGCCTGAACAAAACCAAACACTTACCAATCCAAGATCCTTTGTGTAAATCAATTTTGATCATTGTCTCATTGTATTTCAGTTGTTCCAACAGTACACTTGGGTAAGCAATGACACCTCCAGCCGACAATGCTGCTAAATGAGTAGATCCAGCTACTAGAAACTGAAAAGAGTTATCATAACATTAGAATGAATGCAAGCTCTGGGTCGTATGAGAGGGAGTGTCAGACACTTACTTTTTTTTATGTAATTGATCGGCAAACGAGCAGACGGGTTTCCTGATGGTAAACAATCAGCGCCGCCCATGGACACCCGCAACGGAGGATTTACGAGTGCGTTGCCGGCCTTTTAGGGATTAGGGATTTGGAGATTTAGGGATTGAGGAGGGATTGGGGGCGGGGAAGGATTGGGCCTCCGGTAACCTCGCTCACACGGCGAAACACAACGCTGTGGTTGTTTCACTCCGGTTTTCTGTGATGCCGTGGTATCACTCCGGTCGAGCCGACCCATTCGTGCCGAAGCATGGCTCTCCCACATTTGAACCACACTTGGCTTACTGACTAAAAACTACACCAATCCTTCTTCTACTTTAGTCCAGGGCCATGGTTTATTATTGCGGTAGTACTCAACCTCAGCTGGCGGTTTGAGTAGCTGTACGCCCGATACTGAAGACTTGCAGATGCTAAGACATTTTTTTGCCAAACGAGCAGGCGGATTACCCTATGTAAAACAATTGACACCAATGGACACTCGTTATAGGTACTAAAGAAGTCACTACGAGTGCGTTCCCGGGAACTTGTGGGTCATTAGAGATTTAGGTATAGGGGATTTAAGGTTTCAGGTAGGGGGAAGGATTGGGCTTCCGATAACCTCTCTCACAAGGCGAAGATGACAAAACTTAGATTTAGCAGAATTTAGGACTCAGTACCGACCCCTGAATCAACTTCGAAAAGGTCAAGGTCATTAATTTGCATTATATAGCACTGAAAATAACACTAAAAATACATAGAAAGTGTATATAAATGAAGGTGATACAATAAAAACGAATGACCTTGAATGAACGCGATAATCTTGATCGAATTAGGATTGTTGTTATACTAAATGGAGAAAATTCCTATCAACGATACAATCTCTATGTGAAATCATGAGAAGGATCTTATTAAGACAGGTCATTTGCCGATAGAGGGGCTAGTGACGATTTAATTCAATATGAAGATTATTATATTTCGTATAGATATTTTATGCTCATGGACAGAGTAAACAGGCCTGTTTTCCGTATTAGTAATAGTACAGAAAGCCTAATAGCCCATGAATAAGCTAGTAAAAATGTCGTGGTGGCCCGGAGTTTAAGGATCCCGCTTCTTCGGGTTCGAAACCTGGCAATTACCTACCACTGTGACTTTTTCCGAGTTAAACATATATACTTTCTATGATTATTTAGACACCATTGACATACGGTGAAGGTAAACATCGTGAGGAAACCTGGACTTACAATTCCTAATTATAAGTTTGAAATCGCCAACCCGCATTGAGCAAGCGTGGTGATTAATGCTCCAACCTTCTCCGTATGAGAAGAGGCCTTTGCTCAGCAGTGGACACTTATAGGCTGATGATGAAGCTGGCAATGTTTTTTATTTTGATTTTATATTGATAGTAAGCGTTGATTACTAGGCATCAGGTAGTTAGTTTGAATCCGTCTACTGTTTGTGTCGCTATCTTAAACAGACCAAGAACTTCGTCACCAAATTCGGTACTGTTAAAAATATCTATTGAAATTAAACATTACAAATTGTCCAATTCTGAGCGACTAATAATGGTAAGAAAAATCCCTTAGCGTTTTCGCTTTATTGAGAACAGACCTCGCGACGTATTGTTCTAGAGTCACTGTCAAAAAAATAAATCGTGCAGCCTACAACACATCATACATTTATATAAAATTACAATTATTTATTGCCTAATTAACTTTAATTCTTGCACATGTTAAGGAAATTAACTAGAGATCGCTCACAGTGATAAAGCCGCCTATTGTATTTCTAATTTAAGAGAATATCCGTATCATTTTTATTGTCATTTGCATGGTGAGTATTGTGTGTTTAAAAACACATTTTTAATCACACTACACATAGAAAAACTAGGAAAACAACATAGGAAGCTCAAGATACAACCAGAAAAAACCCAATCTATGATTAATTTGAGTGTGGCAGAGCCATGCTTCGGCAAGAATGGGTCGGCTCGACTGGATTGATACCACGGCCTCATAGAAAACTGGCGTGCTAGTGAAGTTACTGGATACTTGGTCCTAATTCTTCCTCAACCCAATTCCTCCCTTATCCATAAATCTCCAAAACCATCGTCCATTAGTCCCCAAAGGACAGCAATGTACTCTAAACTTCTCCGTTGTTGCGGGTGTCCATTGGCTGCGCTGATTGCATACCATCAGGTAATCCGTCTGCTTATATAAAAAATAAGCTCCATAATATCATAATAAGCATCTAATCTACATACAATTACCAAGTCTCATAATGATACAACCATAAAAAAGCGTGTAAAATTCGAATATTTGTATCTTATTTCTAAATTTCTTGCAGGTTGACCCTGTAAGTCGTTCACACCTGGTATACTGGGATTTAGAGATCTAAACGAGACACAATAAAGAAAGGTAGACTGGTAGAGAATGCTCATTGCATTAAGTCCGCCTATGTACAATGTTTTGAGCATGAAGTCTTAAATAAATAGATAAATAAATACACTTTCTTATGTCTCATCTAATGGCAGAAGAAAGGTTAAACTAAAAAAAATCTAAATAAAATTTGACATCATCGATATCAGAAGAAGGAAACTGGTCCAAAAATTGTAATCTATTAATTTGTATAAAATTATGATTATTATTCTAAGTAAAAAAATGCTCACTGCTGAAGAGAAAGTCTATTTCATAAACAGGTGTTTACCAAATATATACGCTGTTGCCATTGTTCACGTCATAGTTTTAGCTCATACTAAGGTCAACAATTTAAAATATTAATGTGAAATCTCAAATTTTCTTCGAATGAGAAAATATTTTTGTCGAGAAGCGTAACTGCAGAGATAATTATATTATGTACTATTACGTTCACTTACACCTACAAATTACTTAAAATTAATAAACCACTTACTTGTCTCGCTATAGGTGATAGCGTCATCTTTGATCAAACGCCTTGCACGAATCACAAAAATACAATTTTCATATTTTTTTATATTATTATTAATTCCACAATGTACAACCTTTACGTCGCTTCTGCCTTCATCATTACAAATACCTGCAAGTAATTATCACGTTATTGTCTTCTACAATAGAGACGGGATTGCCTTGTCCCGGACTCGTCCTAATTTCGAATCAAAAGGCGTCCGGAGTATCCTTTGTAGTAAGTTTCAAACACGGACGTTCCCAAATCTATTGATGATTAATTAAATTGAACTTAATGTTGTTGTGTTTGAGTTTAAATTTGTTATTTGAGTTATGGGAATTAGGCAAGTTTTGTAGGTTTTTGTCTTAAGCGTTTTTTCCTTGAAGTTTTATCTCCGGGTCGTTATAAGTGAGACTTTTGAGTTGGGTACGGTTCCATGTTGGGGAAAATAAGTTTTGTGATTTTTTTCGTAATATCCTGTTACGCTATTAAAAATAGGATTGGATAGGATCACCGCTGTAGCGAAACTATAAAAATATATAAATTATAATTCCAGACTTATCCTACAACGTTTGAAATTGCCAATCCGCTTTGAGCAAGAGTAGTAATCAATGGTAAAACCTCTTTGTAATAAGAAGTTTGACTCAGCTGTGAGAACATAGACTAATCCTTATCTCTTGTGTCAGATTCTTACTGACTAGCAACCATCCTGTTCCTTCACCTGCACCAGGCGGGAGATGACCTCTTTCACCCACAACCCCAGGCGACTTTCATACCAAGTCATAATCTTTATTCTTATCTATTACTTACTTTTCTGATTATAGCAAAGATGTTGGTATAATTATAGCTGGTAAAAATGGCCGGTACACAAGCATATTATTATGTCTGTCACCGCATTTAATGACACTGACAAATCAAACATAAAATTTTGGTTACAAAATTCCCAGTATAAACTCCAATTTAGCAAGTTTTAATCAGAATTCTTCGTTCCTTATAACTTCAATTACCACGAGATGGCGCTTTATTCATCTCTTCTCGTCCGTACCGAGAATGATGCAATTTATAGGAAAATACATTTCAATATGCAAACTCCTTTCGCCCACATTTTCCCGGGATTTCAATAATAACTAGTAGCAACACTATTGTCGTTTTAAAAAGAACCTTAGTTATAATGAAAATAAACTGTAAAATTAATTTGTTTGTTCGTTTGTTCTTTGTTTGTTGCGCGTTACTCCTAACACGCTAAATCGATTTAAATTTTAAATTTTAATGGAACTTGAACGAAATTTACAATTTATTTTATATTATATTTTAAATGACAAAAAAGAGGAGGCCGTAGCGATTTTTGTCAGTTCATAAAATAGTATTTTTTGTATGTAAGTGGGACAGTGAAAATGTGTAGTATATTAGTATTAAAAGAGCACAATTAAATAATAATATTTGCACAATTGTTACAAGTAATTTTTTATATGACATTACAAAAGTCACGACTAAACAATAACCAAGCGATTGCATTAAATTATTTTATTATCTCATACGAATACAATGTACTCAAAGACACTTAATGATTACAAAAACTAATCCTTATTAGTAGTAGATTTTTGGTATAAAAACTGTCCTATGTCCACAAATCTGTGACACACAAATAGGTTCAATAGCTAAGGCGTGAAGAAAAGACAGACAGCCAGATATAGTTACTTTCGCATTTATAATATTGCTTGGGTTATGTTGATCACCGCTTGACCAGAACCAAACCCGAACGTACCACGCGTTGCGTTCCATGTGCGCCTTAAAGACCCATTGGACCACCACCAATGGGGCCCAATAGGACCGATGTCCAGGTGCGTTACGAGTGAAAGTGCAATAATGAACATCGATCTCCGTTTTGAGCAGTAGAAGGAACAAGGTGGTTTGAAGTCAGTAAGAGTCTGACGCTCTCTCGCAACCTAGGGTGGGCAAAGTATTAAGATGGTTTTTTCCCTTTAAAAAAAGTAGTGATTCTTTTCCGAAAATACTTAGTAAGGACTGACTTAATTCACCAAACCCCAAGCGAACGCCGGCGTTCATGCAGCTATTGTGTCTGGGATTAAGACGATTGGAAGATTAAGTAACAATGAAATGACTCTCAGTATGCCAGTGTTTGAAATTCCGTATCAGTCATCAGGAGATTATTTTAATAAAAAAACGCATTTGTCTATACTTAAATTGATTTTTTATATTTAAGTCTGAAGTTTATTTGAATTTATACATTCCTCTTACTTTTATACATACGTACGCTTAAAACGAAATATGTAGGTACCATGCATGACATAATATCATATTAGGCAAAAAAGATTTTTTTATGTTTAAATCATTAGAGGAAAGTCACCAAATAGGGTCTCCTTAACTATTGAGGCATCACCAAAATAGTATTCCATATAAGGTTACTTTTCTCAAATTTAAATAAAAACTTATCTATACTATCCACTTACCTTTTTATTGTAAGTAATTATCGAAAAAACAACAAAGGCTCGATACAGACTCTACAACTTCGAATACAAAAAAAATAAGAACAAGCTTATTTTTTTCCAAAAATTAAAAATGATTACTTAAAAAAATAACCAACAACCGTAATAGGCTATTGTTGAAACCAAAGTGAATCTCACGAAAGAATTGATGTGACATAAAAATTAAAGTACGAAGGACCGCGATAAAAATCAAAATGGCTGACAAGATGTTTCAAATAAATACAAAAAAATAACTGGCCAAGTGTGAAACGAAATGATGCAGCACAGGTTTTTATCATTTTTTTATGGTATAAGTCGGTAAACGAGCTGGATTTGGAGATTTAGGGGTTAGGGGAGGGAAAGGATTAGGCTTCCGGTAACCTCACTCACACGGCGAAACACGACGCTGGGTTGTTTCACGCCGGTATTCTGTGAGGCCGTGGTATCACTCCGGTCGAGCCGACCCATTCGTGCCGAAGCTTGGCTCTCCCACATGCCTACCTCCGTTGAGGCTTAATTGACGTATGGTTCCGTCATCTACCCCGGTCTTAGGCGTGTGCATCCGGCGAGAGATGGCGCTGTGACCCAAAAGGATTGGTCTTGGGACCGCTCCTGTGGAATGTTGTAGTCCGTTACGCTGACTACACGCAAGTGCTAGCGAACGGGATGTCGTATCAGGCGGCGGCCGACCTGATGTCACAAGCGGTTGCGATAGGCATTCCAAGAATCCAGCAACTATGACTCTAAAAAGCGTTCCACAAGTCCGAGGCAAGATTTAGTCAGTAAGAGTCTGGCACTCCCTCTTGCCTCACCCTGGACAAGAGAAGTCACTTGATGATTTTCCCCTCACAAAAAATAAAGTAGAGATCTGTTTTTATTCTGCTGGGACAGAACCCTAAAAATAACCTGGTCTGATGTAACGGCTTTTATGGGTTGACCCGTTACGCGAAACAGGTAAACGGTATATGCATATAACATTATGTAGGTAGGTATCTATAGATACATATAGAGTAGGTACGTCGACGTGCCAGATTTTATTTTTTAAATTTTATTTTAAACTATGAAGTTTTTAATTGAATTTTTATTGAAGATAAAAATATTTCCGAAGTATATTGTGTTGGTTTTATGTTATGTAACATCATGGACTATATAATATTTTTGAAGGAGTAAGCAGATGACTTACATCATTTGCAATAAAAATGCTCTACTAGTTTCAAGTCACAACGGGACTCTTATTTATGAGCAGCATGCTCGTAGCGACCCAGCGAAGTGTAAAATGAATTGAAACCTAGAATTATAATTTCTAATTATAAGTTTGAAATGTGGGCTGGCCACGTCGCACGAATGCACCCGGACAGATGGGCGAAGGTTGTCACTCACTCGACTCCTGAAGGAGGTCGACGCCGACGAAGGTGGTGTGACGATCTGATCATGTTCGCGGGGCAAACTTGGCCGGAGATCGCTCTAGACAATGAAGTTTGGAAGGAAAAAGGGGAGGCCTTTGCCCAGCAGTGGGACACACAATAGGCTATAAAAAAAAAGTTTGAAATCGCCAATCCGCCTTGAGCAAGCGTGGTTATTATTGATGTAAACTTCTGCCTGTAAGAAGACGCATTTGCTCAGCAGTAAGCACTTATAGGCTGGGATAATGATATCTCACGGTAGTTAAACAACCTTTTTAATTTTTAACATGTATCTTCTTTACAAACGCCAGGAAGTAGAGTCCAGACCAGAGTAAAATATACATCTTTTTAAACCATACCATACCATACGACCAGGTCCGAGCGTACGGCGCGTAGTATTCCGCGCGCGCCTCAAAGAGCCAATAGACTACCACAGACGGGGCCCTAAAGGGCTGATGTTCAGCCGGGGTTGCAGTCTTTCTTCCCCTCCCTCGAACCTTAATTGCCGCTACCCTAATTCCCAAAAGGCTGGCAACTCACTCGTAACTTCTCTGTTGTTCCGAGTGTCCATGGGCGGCGCTGATTGCTTACCATCAGGTCATCTGTCTGCTCGTTTGCCGTCCTAACACATAATACTAAGAACATACATCACCCAAAACTTTCACATTTATGAATATAACATTAATAGGATGTAATTATTTTCGCTCATCCGTTATTTCCAATTTGACACCTCTGATTTTACAAATAATATTATGTTCGGTCTCGTTATTGTGAATTTATATCCAGCTGACAGTACAATGAATCAATTTAATCATAATTACAAACAGGACACTGCTGACAGTAATCACTAGATTTTTGGCAACGAAATTTCTAGCGTTAAAATAAATATCATTTTTGCCGTATGGTATGGTTTTTTTTTGTGAGGGGAAAATAATCAAATAATTTTCCCCGCCTTCTAGTGTCAGACTCTTGCTGACTAAAAACCCCCCTGTTCCTTCTCCTGCTTTGGGCCGAGGTCGCGGTGCCTCATTGCGCTTACCCCGCAACCTCAGCCCTTAGTTGGGGGGAGAGGGAGAGCCAGATTCTTGCTGCCAAAAACTACTCCGTTCCTTCTCCTGCTCCAACCTGAGCCACAGAATGTTAAGAATAAAATTTACTTGAAAGATTTGCAAATTCATTTCAGCATCTTATTTCTTGCATAAAATACATGTTTTTGACCTTGGTTCCTTAAAAAATCTTACATAAAGAATGCATATTTATGAACAAGGCGTAAAAATGCATTACGTAACTTACCTACCTTCAAAACGATAATATCGATACATAATCTTGATAACTTTATTACATAGTATAAAACATACTCGCTTCTCTGTTCCTACATCACTATGTATGGCCTATATATTTTTAAAACTACACAACGGATTAAGATGTAGTTTATATATAGAATGATTGAAGGGGCAGGTTTTTATGTATAACTAGCTCTTACCCGCGGCGTCGCTCCCGTCATTTGACTACCTACCCTACTTTACCTACCCTACACTACCTACCCTACTCTATCTGCCCTACACTACCCACCCTACTCTACCTAACCTACACCACCTACTATATCCTATGTCCTTCTCCTGGCTCTAAACTACCTCCCTGCCAATTTTCAGCTAAATCGGTTCAGCCGTTCTTGAGTTATAAATAGAGTAACTAACATGAGTTTCGTTTATCTATACTTCTTGGTTTTGTAAGTTTGTATGTAGGGGGTAATCTTTAGAACCGCTGGTCGGATTGCCAAATTTCTTTCACTGATCGATAGCTAGAATGTTCTTGTGTGCTATCGGCTATAAAGCGTCACGATACGATTAAATGGAGGCGAGCAACCTCGCGAGAGTTGCTCGTATATTATATAGACAAATGTAAATATTATTCGTTAAATAGTGCGCATATTTCGTCGCAATAAATAAAAATCAATAAACCTATATAAATAAAAACACTCTTATCCCAACATTCTTAAGTTAACATAATTAATATTGAACTTCCATTTTTGTACTTCTGTAAGTAAACATACAGGGGGATACTGAATCGCTGAAATAATTTTAATGCGAAAACTATTATTGGAAAAAATATTAAGGATAAAATTTCGGACGGAGTTCGACTATACTTTATTTATCGTATTTTATTCTTAATTAAATTATAGCTCATGCTAGGATTTTGCACTGTGTCCTGGGTGCGTTTAAAAAACCACCATGAAACCCACACCATGAAAACCACATGCGATTTCACACTTATACCTAGAACAATAATTCGTAGATTAAGCAAAGAGTTGTTATATTTTTTTCATGTCATAGGACGACAAATGAACAGACGGATTACCTGATGGTAAGCAAACGCGGCCGCCCATAGACACCCACAACATCGGTGGAGTTACGAGTGCGTTGTCGATCTTTTAAAGATAAGGGTTTTGGCTCTCTCAAACTTAAATTTACATGCGGGAATCCAACGCTCATTACTTTGCACAGCAACCAGTTGCCCAGTCACAGTGTTAAGCGTGCAGTCAACATTTTGTTGCTTCTTTTTGACTTGTCACAAACATAAAACAACCTGTATATCAAACGTTGGACACAAATAAAATGATCAATAATACCCAACCCGAATTACGAAAGGTTAGGAAATTTTTTCACTGAATTTGTCAACTAAATTCTTTTACCCCAGAACGGAAGTCAATTTCTCCCATGAATATGTAAAAAGAGGGTCCTAGAGGCCCCTTGGACCTTTAGGATGTAATTATAGAATTCGGACCCCTGGACTTGGACCCTTCCGGCCGGACCTATAAAGCTACTGAATAAAATACGAAGGAGGGAAAATAGATTTTTTTGATTTTTTTTCTCGGCTTTCGTTTCGATTTCAGGGATGGTCGCGTGTTTTAGTGATGGAATTTTTTTTAAATATTGATTTGGATTTTAACGTTTTTATGCAATTCTAGACTTTGTATCTGTCTTGTCTTGGGTATCTGAGATGAATAAACGCGAAAGTAATGGTGGCCCAGAGGTTAAGGCGCCCGCTTTTTTTGCATACCAATGTGACTTTTTCCGACTTATATAAGTAATTTCTATAATTGTTTAGACACCACTGTCATACGGCGAAGGAAAACATCGTGAGGAAATCTGGACTTTTAACTTTTTATTACTAGTTTGAAATCACAAATCTGCCTTGATTTCTCAAGGCAGATTGGCATGGTAATTATTGCACATGTTTAACTAAATCACGCAACTGTTTGACCAAGAACTCGACCAGTCAGTTAGCTCATTCATGCAACTTAATGTTGAAAGCTTCCAATTCAATTTTTTTTCTGGATAGAAAATCAAATATTGGAGAGCCATGCTGAATGCGCCGGCCTGACCGGAGTGATACTACAGCCTCAAAGAAAACCGGCGTGAAATAACCTCAGCGTTGTTTCGCCGTGTGAGTGATATCCCTAAATCTCCGAAATCCTTTTCCCCAAACGGCCGGCAACGCACTCGTAACTCCTCTGGTATTACACGTGAAAATAGGCAGCGCCGATTGTTTACCATCAGGTAATCAATCTGTTGGTTACAACTGCACAATTGACTCGGATATATTTTAACGTAAATAAAAAAATATTTTGCTTTTAAATTAGAAATACCCTTACCTAGTTGAAGATCCTGATTCCATATTCAAACTCTAAGCTTCGAAGTCGAGCCCTCATACCAACCAGTCGTTTTTCTAACCACTCTTAAGTTCAAGAGAATAACTCGCACAAATCGTGTTTTTGCGGAACAGGAAAAGGAGCTGCCTTTGTACTTCGTCAGATTTGAATTTATAACATTTCTACTTTGTCCCCTGTTTAGATTTGGGTCCCTTTGTGATTTCTAATGGCTTCTAATGGACGTGTAAGGATACTTTACTTGAGGTAGGTTTTTACTGGACATTAATTCTTAGAGTTCATAGATCTTATAGTGACGTTGAGTATCAATTGACTATTTGACGATAAAAGTATACTTAAGACATTTGAATTTAAAGGTTTTATCAAAAGTAAATATTTAACGTAAGTTGTAGAAAAAGAGTAATAAATGGTGAAAGGGTTAT